CATTTGATCATAATATTACATTATTATCATTACTCATACGAAATATGTGCATGGAAGTTATTCCAAAAATATATTTATGTAGTTTTATACACTAATATATTGTTTACTTGTATAAAACATTATTATCAAATAAGTGAAGAATTTATTCTTTCTTTACTGCCATAGATATATTATACGTTTATCTATTGATATAATTAAGTTACAAAATATTCAATTTTTAAATACAAATTGTAAATTTTTTAGTAATATCATTGCACCATGCAAGATTACGATGAGAGTGATAATTTTTCAATGTGAAATATTTAATAAATTAACTTAAAATTAGTCTTCCGTATTAGAACATATTTTGATATTTCAATAATTTTTTAATTATTTAAATTATTGACATAGTCTTCAATAATGACAAGACTTATGATATTTTTTAAATTTATATAAAATTTTATTTTATTTAGAACACATTTTTTACCACATCTAAAATCTTCAAATAAGTTATCATTTTTGTATTGGTAAAGATTACAATACATATTTATGTAAATCGTACCATAAACGCGTGTACGTATCGTTAAGAATATTATAACATAGTGGAGTAATTCTTTGCTGACGTTGGGCTATTTTTCAAGTAGCGGAAATAGATTTATATTACTTAAATGCTATAGCCAGAACTGACTTTTTTGTTTATTTAGGAAGTAACAATACAGAATAACAACATATTTTTGATATAGAAGATATGCACATTATGGTCGAAAAAGATTCAAATATTATTAAATCTAGTCTTTATATGGCCCTACCATGACATATACAAGATTATTAAAACAATAGTATTGAGTTTCATCATTAATAAAAAAAACAGATAATTAAGTTATATTCTTTAAAAAAATCTTAATATTTAAAAAATAAAAAACACATCATTCATTGCAATATACAATATATAAACATGTTGTATTATAATAATCTAACAGAATAAATTTTATTTGTGTAAAATTACATTTTGATAGAACATAAATATGTTTGTAGTAAAAAATTTTCTATGTTTATTTTCCACATGTATTATTAAAATATAAAAAGAAAAAATCATGTGGAAGTAATATTGTAAAAAAATAGTTATGCATTTCCATATATTTATCTATTATTCAATATTGAAAAAACACGATCAAATTTTTTTTCTTAAGAATTTACATAGTCTATGAAATAGAGATCTATAATATTTATGAATATAATATATACATGTAGAAGTCTATTTCATACGACAATAGTGAATCTGTTTATTTTTCGCGTTAGAAAAATGCTGTTGTTTTATACTACAGTTTATTGTTTAGGAAATCATTTTAATTTTACATTTTTCTTATAAATTGTATCATTCTCTATATGTTTGGGCAAAATATATAGACTGAAGGCAGAAAATTGTCTTTCAAACAAAAAATTACCTATCTAGTTAGAATTATAATCTCATTACATAGTGTAACGTATGAATTATTTCTGTTTAGTATTAAAATAATGTATATTTTAATTTTCATTTAAAATGAAACAAAATGAAATACAATTGTTAATATAAGACACTGCCTTTTACGTATTTGATTTGAACAATAATAAAGTATTACATATACTATAATTTACTTTAGTTTTGTTTATTTATTTCATTAATTTTACAAATGCTCTTATTATCAATAATATATTTATATATTATACAAAAAAATTGTTACAGATTCGTTGATATAAAAGTTTTATATTTTACATCATTTAAGCATAAAAAATAAAAGTAGCAAAAATACAAGTTAATGCAATTTAAAAAGTTTGAGGTATTTATGATATATTTTTTATCTCATAATTCCAATTTATATATTCATAAATCATCATCACCAATCATGCGAAATGCATTATTTTCCTTAATATCATATTCCAATGTTTGTTTCCCTTGAACCTTATCACTTATATTATTTCTCACATCACTAGATCGTTTTATTTTTACTATTGATAGTCTATCTGCAAGTTTCTTCATAATTGGTTCTGATTTAGAAGGTTGTTTAAAATAATAATTCTAAAATATAACCCAAAGATATAAATAAATAAAATATAAATAATATTAAAATATCATACCTTTTTACTATCTTCAGATTCTTTAGAACTTGATCCTACTGTAATACTTTGTCCATCTCTCATAACATATGTCCAAGATTTTTGTGATACCTTCTATAAAAAAATAGTCTAATATTTAATAACTAAATAATAATAAGAAAATAATTGTGTTTATCAATTAATAGTATTTTCTTTTTATTAACCTGAATCTTATTACTATTATCAATAGTCTTTGATAATAATTCATCAATCATAGCTTGCAAACATACAGACATTAAAATAGCTTGTTCTGATATAACTGTAATCCATTGTAATTGATTTTTAGCAATTAAATATTCAAAAGATAACTCTAAACTAAAATCATCACTTTCTTCACCTCCTCTTTCAGATCCCTAAAATTGAAATAAAACAAGATATTTTATAATATATATAAAAATATTTTTTTTTTATAATTATTTACATTTTGTAATGTAGTTATTCGCCAACAACGCATTCGTGAAACTTTAAATATTTTTTCGTGTTGCTCTTCATTAAATAATATGCGCAAATTTAATTCATTTCTACCAATAGCAATTAATACTCTTGAATTTGGCTGAGGATAATCACAAAAACATGGAGCAAATTGAATATATCCATAATATTTTGAAGTACGTACTATATCTAAATACTAAAGTAAAATTATTATTAAACTTAATATTAGTTGTTATACTTTAATATGATATATATGTACTTTATAATATATTTATATATATAATCATACTTCTTTTTCTTTTCCTTGTTTTTGTAAAACATTGAGTTGATTTTTTAGTTCATCTGTAATATGAATCCATCCCCATTGAATTTCTGCAATTGCTTGAATATATAATAAATTTGTTGCCACTTCATCATTCATTAATTTAAGATCATATCCTATATCCCAATAATTTTTTCCAAGTATAATTCTACTTCCTATAATATGTAGATGTTTAATTGTTATAAAAGGAGATTCAAAATCTTGTAGTTTTCGTAGTACTAAAAATGTATAAAAAGCAAATTAATTGTTAATCATATATAAAATATAACAAAGATATACTCACAATGAATGCTATTTGTTTCATCTTGAGCAACAATAAATAATACAAAATATGAATAATATTGTTCAGATAACTTAAGTTGCTTGTATACTTTCTGTTAAATAAAACATATGAATTATAGTTCTATAATTTTATTATATAGTTATATATTCATATGGCAAAATTACCTTTAAAACTTCACCTGAATGATCCCTTGTAGAAACATTTATTGTTCTTTTGCAACCATTCATAAGAAAAATATCCATAACTTCATTATTAGATGGTCCTCCTATGGTTTCTTGTTGAGCATTTAATAAAAATCCATTTAGCATTCCTGAATTGTTAATAACTGGATTTTGTCCAATTGTTTGAATATACTTTTCTAAAGAAAGGCGACGTTCTTCTTGTTGATTTGTCGTTAAGGGAAAAAATTTTTTAGGTGGAATAATGGAAGAGATATATCCAAATCTCTTGTTAATTGTTCATGAAGACTATATAATTGTTTATATCTCACAGTACAATGAAATAATCCATTTATATGAATGTTATAACCCTGAAAATTAAGATAAAATAAATATGCATTAATATATAATTACATATATAATATATAACAAATATACTTACAACATATGTATTACCAGCTGCATCAATAAATTCTTGTGTATCTGGTATAGAAAAATGCATTTTTAAAAAATATAATATTAATATTTTAAATTTTTTCTATAATCAAAATACATTGTACATATATAGAATAATAAAATAACAATTTATAATAGATTACAATTATTTAATTGTTTTTTACAAATATGTTAATTTTCAAAAATCTTTAACAAAATCAACATATATAAAAAGATAATTCAAAATGTATAAAAATATTTATATAAAAAATTTCACATTATGTACAATCAAAAGTGTAGTTGAATTTAGAAATGAATATAAATATATTCCCAAATGTTACTCCATCTGGAAAATAAAATAATAATAAAATACAAACAAAATAAATTAAATAAGAATTTAAATATCTTTTAACTATATACCACGAATACAATTTAACGAATATTGTAACAATTTGAAGTCAAATCCATATATTTTAAATTATATATAATAATATTTTATTTTTACATTATTTCAGTAGATAATACTTACATAATTATTAATTACACGAAATACTTAGATATTGTCTACTTACTTTATTCTCATTATTTATGACGATAGGCGTATTCGTTTTACACCCACTCAATAACTATATTCTAAAAATTAACACTGACGCATTTTTTATAGTGATTACGTTAATATATTTATTACAATGATCAATACTATAGTTCAATATAATTTATAAAGTGTTTGTTATAAAAAAATATACAAATTTCATAATTTATATTTCTAAGTCAAAAAGTATATAACTATTTATATACGATTTTATAAATTCATGTTATAATTTTATTTTTTAATATTTTAAAATTTACTTAATTTTTCTCATTCTTAATATTTTGTTTTGTAATTTCAGAGGCGCCACGGCGCCTTTATTAACATCTTCTGTTTTCGAATATACTAGATTAGAGACTCATTTGAAAATTTCAATTTGTACAAACTTTCAACAAAAAAATATTTTTTATTATTAAAAATTAAAATTTATCTAAAATCTGTATTAGATTAAATATATTTGAATGCATTAAATATCTTTTCTTATATTTCTTTTATTAAAATTAAAAGCCAAAAAATAAATTCAAATATTATATTTTATAACGTATAACATATGAGTTAAAAAAAATAAAAATTTATAATTTAATACATAAATTATTTTTAAGCTAAATCAAATTAAAATAAATTTTTATATTTTCACTAAACATTTTCCATTTCCGGTTAATCTCGAACGATATATCGATTTATGTATTTAAAGTATCGAATGTACGAAACATTTCTTTCCGATAAAAGCCTCATATTGTTTAACGTCAAGTATGTTAGATATTTTAAGTCTATCTATTTTAATCGTTTGCAATCTTTGATTTTATAAAAAAATACGAGGTTTGTTAAATTACTTACTTTTTGCCAAATTGAAGAATTTTCATATAATTGGTATTTTTTTTATTAATATTATAATAAACGATATTGAGGTTAAACTAATTTAAAAGAATGTTTGCCTTTCTTTTATTTATATCGTAATATTAATTTATATCTTTAATGTTTATAATATTAATATTAAAATTAAGATATTGATTTGTATAATTTAATTATATTAAGATTTGTGTAATATATAAAATTTTCTTATAATTCTAACAAATTCTAATTTTTTTCATTTTTTGTTTAAAATATGTTCCTAATCATATCTATTTAATTTTCTGATTAAATTATATTGTTTTAAAATATATCTTATTTTTTTATTATGAATTAAAATTACATTATTTTAATAACAACTGAATTTTAATTTTTTTTTTATTATTTTTAGAATGTTGATGCCAAAAAAGAATCGTGTAGCAATTTATGAATATCTCTTTAAAGAAGGTGTTATGGTTGCAAAAAAAGATTATCATGCACCAAAACATCCAGAGTTAGAATGTATTCCTAATCTTCAAGTTATTAAGGCTATGCAGGTAATATATGACATAATTATATATGATCATCTTTATATTGTTTGTTTTTTATTGTTTAACTTCTGTCATTATAATTAAATTCTTATGTATTTTTTTAGTCTTTAAAATCTAAAGGATTTGTTAAAGAACAATTTGCTTGGAGACATTTTTATTGGTATTTAACAAATGAAGGCATTGAATATTTACGTGGATATTTGCATTTACCTCCTGAAATTGTACCTTCCACACTTAAGAGACAAACAAGATCAGAAACAACAAGGCCAAGACCTGCAGCAGGTGCAAGAAGTGAAGCATCTAGACCTACAGAAGATCGTGCTGGATATAGACGAGGTCCAGGAGGTCCAGCAGGTCCTGGTGATAAAAAAGCTGATGTTGGTGCCGGTACAGGAGATGTTGAATTTCGCGGTGGTTTTGGACGTGGTAAACCACAATAATATTTTAATGTAAAATAATAAATAAAATTAATAATATACAAGTCTAATATTTTAATTCTTACCTAAATAATAATTTTAATATATAAAAATTTTAATAATTAAATAAATTTAATAAGTAACATAAAGAAAAACAAAATAAAAAAAAATTTATTATGATAATTTTATTATTTATATTTAATTATTTTACATCTTTTATTGCATTATAAAAGTGTACATTCAATTACAAATTGTATAGTTATATTATTAATACATAAATTTATAAATGGAAGCAAAAAAAAGTAATTTGTATACAATTACAAAACATAATTATTATATAAACAAATTTTTAACAAAAAAACATAGCTAGAAACATTACAGACAGATAATTTGGACTAATGCAAAAATTTTATTAAAAAACTTGTAATCATTTCATCAAATGAAACAGGAATTTATACAATATTTGTACAATACATAAATTTTCCTTTTATAATTTTCTGAATTTTCAATGTAAAATTTCTCAAGCTGTTTTTTGACTACTGTATCAATATCTCTTATATTTTCTCTTAATATGATGAAATATTAATACCTATATTCAATAAAAAAAAAATATTTGTAACATAAGACATGATATATTTTGTTCATTTTCCATATGCTATGTTTGATAAAATAAATACATAAAAATTATAAATTATTATTAGCAAACTTTATATACAACTAAATAACTTCAACATATTGAAAGTTTTGAATTAATGTATTAGCGCAATATATATTTCTATCGCTTGTCATAATTATTTAATAAATATTATTATATAATTAATTTTATATAATTTTCATATAATGTAAAATACTTTTATTTTTTCATTCAATAATTACCAATTATACTCTGCTTAATTATTTATTTAGAATAATTTATGAACAAAATAATGATTCATTTAAAAATTTTAATAATTTTTGTAAAATGGTTTGGGAAATTTATTCAAATTAAATAAACTATAAAAATGTTAATTTTTTAGATATACAATAACATACAATAACAAAATAAAATTAACATTTTTAAATAAAAAAAGTGTTATACATAGTGTATAATTAGACAGTAGGATTAAATTAATGAAATTAAGCATAAATATATATACAAAAAATGTATCTTAATTCTATAATATTAAACTATTATAATTTTACATTTGGAAGTTCCTTAATTTCATGCAAATTTTTTGTAACCTAGCAAATTTTTTGTAACCTAGCAAATTTATTCTTTTGTGTATATAAATACATATCATTAATACATATATGTACATATTTGTATATATGTACATATATAAATACATATACCATGTATAACACCTATAAAAACTACAATTAAGATTATAAAATCATATTTGCATATCATTAATAAGATTCATATATATGTGTAATATATATGAATTCTATGAATAGGTTACGTTATTAACGAATTAATTAGACATATCCTTCTAAAAAAAATAAAGGTGGAGGCATTTTTTAATTTAAGAATAAACATTCTAATAACCTTAACTATTGTCACATCTCACTGTATCACAATTTGTACTCCAAAGGAGACAATTACCAATTCCACTATAACAAATTAGGAAAACTGCAAGAAGAAATACTAAACTACAAACAGTACATGGTTTTCGTTCTAGGAAGAATCCAATTAGATAAAGTGCCATAAACATGACATGCGTTTGCAGTAGTGCTGGATTTACTGGTTTTGGTATCAGCAGTACTGGAATTAACCACTGTAGGCAATACATCCTCTTTTTCTTGTTTTTAAAGATGTATTTAAACTAGTTATTTCATCTATGACAAAACATCTGAAAAGAATAAATAAATTACTTTCCTTTCGTTTATTTATGAATTCACTTTTTACACGCACTATGATCTTTTCGTACCTTATATGGAAGCACTATAATGTTCTCGAAACATCTCGTCCTTCAAAATTGAAACAATTGGATTATACATATGTATAATAGTACCTTCTCACATGCTAGTACAAATATTTCTTCTGAATTTTTCCAAATATGAGATTACACACATCTACAAATTAAATAGGAATATACAGCTTATACAGTTTATCTTACTGTTTCATGAAAACAACCTTTAAATTATTTTAGAAAATTAAAAAATTATTTTAAAATTACTTCAATAATTTTATAATTATTTTATATAATTTCTATAAGAATTAAAATTTCTATTTATTATATTACTTAATTTTTTATTATTTTTTATCTTTATACTAAAAATCAAATTAAGATGACAAGTTTGCTTCATAGTATTAATTTAAAAATTTCTATTCTTTTACGCGGGAATAACTAAAATTTTATCAAAGTTTATAAGTATAATCAGAGTAGTAACAGTGCAACTTATTTGAATATTTAGAATTGAGATTAATATGTAATAATAGGTATTATGTTTATATTTTCATTTTAGTAATTTAATAATAATTTTAAATAAAATATAAAATATCTAATATGTATCGTAAAAATTTAGAAAATATTTCGAAACATCAACAAATAGCATGTACTAATTTCAAAAAGAATTTAGAAAATAATATTAATACTTTATCTGAAAATTCACAACAAACTTTTATTAGAGATACAACAAAAATTCTGGATTTATTTAAAAACCCTATTACAAATTGTATAAAAAACGTACAAAAAGAAAATGTTTCAAGAAAGAAAGAAGAAGACAATATAATTACGATTAAAAAAAATATATCCACTAATACTGATATGAACAAAATGTATGTACACTTATATGAATATGTAATTATATAGTAATTATTAATATATATAATTATTTATTTATTAATATATATAATTATTTCTTTTTATAGCATTTTTAATGTATTAATAGGTAAAAAGACTATGAGAAAACATAAAAAATGGGATGATGATGGAACATTGGAAGTTATAGGAAAACATGCAATCTTAAAAGTAATATATTTAAATAAATTGTATATATATTTTATTATTGAAAATATAAAAAAAGTTGTATATTTGTAATATAGGATATAGAAGGCAATATTATCCATAAAGCTATAGTTAATCCAGAAGTTTTGACAGAAGGTTTTAGAATGTATATAGATAATAAAGAAATTGAGGTAAAAATAATTGAAACATATAAATAAATTAATGAAATGCATTAAATTAATCATCAAAATATTTATAGATAATTGATAGAGTACTGCCCAAATATATGCTCAGTAGATCTATTCCAGAAAAAATTTCAGAACCACCTACAAAGAAGTTAAAAACATCAATTTCTAAACCATATCTTCCTTTAGAATGTTTATATACAGGTATAATGTATCAAAAGAATTATTTTATATCTTTTATATTAAAAAAACTTATATTATAAAAAAATATATCAATTTTTATGTTTTATTATAGATATAAAATTGAAATGCAGTCCATTTGTAATGCCATCTATAAATATTTCACAGGATTGGACAAAAAACATATTACAAAATGAAAAAGAAGTATCTATAGATGCTTGTTTAGTAAATGTACTTAGACCACATCAACGTCATGGTATTGTATTTTTATATGAATGTATTATGGGCTTAAAAGTACCTAATTATTTTGGAGCAATTTTGGCTGATGAAATGGGACTTGGAAAAACATTACAATGCATTACAATTATTTGGACATTATTAAAAAAAGGACCATACGGATATCCAATATTAAAATATGTATTAATAGTAACTCCTAGTAGTTTGTGTAACAACTGGAATAAAGAATTTAAACATTGGTTGGGTTTTCATAGAATATCTCCATATGTTGTAAATGCTAAAAACAAACCAAATAATTTCAAGAAACAAATAAGAAATTCAGTTATGATTATTAGCTATGAAATGCTTATCAAATATCGACAAGAAATTGAACAAATAGCTTTTGATTTAATTATATGTGATGAAGGTCATCGATTAAAAAATAATGATATAAAGACAACAAAGGTATCGTTTTCAATATTCAGTTTTATTAATTAAAAAAAGAAGAAAGCTTAATATTATAAAAAATATTATATATAAAGATATATAAAATATATAAAATATAGATATATAAGATTTTAATATATTATAAATTTTTTTCTAGATTTTGAGTAATTTGAATTGTAAAAGAAGAATACTTTTAACTGGAACTCCTGTGCAAAATGATTTGCAAGAATTTTTTGCATTGATTGATTTTGTAAATCCTGTTATATTGGGCAGTAGTTCTGAATTTAAAAATTATTATGAAAAACCTATAGTTGCATCACAATGTCCTAATGCATCATGTCATGTTATATCTCTTGGAACTGAAAGAGCTAATGAGTTATATGAAAAGACTAAATGTTTTATATTAAGACGTACACAAGAAATAATTAATAAATATTTACCTTCTAAGCATGAATTAGTTATATTTTGTCGTTTATCAGATGAACAAGAAGATTTGTATTCAAGAATCACAAATTTATGGTTCAATAAAAATGTATTACCAAATAATAATATACCACATTTAACTTTAATAACAGCTCTTAAAAAGATTTGTAATCATCCAGAATTATTTTATAATGATAAAAATGATCTATGTTTGAATAAGGTTTCTATAAAAAATATTACAAGAAAGGGATATTATGGAAAGATTTCAATTGTACAAACATTAATAAGAAATTTAAAAAAAACTAATGAAAAATTAGTATTAATTTCATATTATACACAAACACTTGATTTACTGGAAAGAGTTTGTAATATGGAATGTTTACAATTTCTTAGATTAGATGGTAATACAACAAGTAATACAAGATCTAAAATTATAGAACAATTCAATTCAACAAATGATAACAATAGTAAGTATATGTAATGTAAGTATGTAATGTTTAATTTTAGAGTTAGCATGATTTTTTAAATGTTTATAAAATGGTTGCAGAAGTATTTTTATTAAGTGCAAAAGCTGGTGGAGTTGGATTAAATTTACCTGGAGCATCTCGACTTATATTATTTGATTCAGATTGGAATCCAGCATCTGATTCACAAGCTATGGCAAGAATTTGGAGAGATGGTCAAAAAAATGATGTTTATATATTACGGTTTGAATATTTTTCATAAGTTATAAATAAATATATTAATATATCATAAAAATTTTTATAACAATATAATATGTCAATATGTCATAAATAAAATTTATAGATTACTGACAACAGGTACTATCGAAGAAAAGATTTTTCAAAGACAAATTAACAAAGCAAATTTAAGTGAAACTGTGGTAGATTTAAATTATTTCTCTTCTATTAAATTATCTATGAGTGATTTAAAGGTATTTGTTTTATATTTTTTAAATATTTTTAAAATAGTATGAAATAACATATAATGTGCATAATATTTATAGGATTTGTTTACATTAACAACAAATACAAATAGTTTAACACATGATTTAATGAAGTGTTCTTGTAATGGATATAAAGTGTCGGAAGAGATATCAAAAGAATCACATCAAGAAAATAATAGAGAATATCAATTTCTTCTAGAAGATAAAATGCCAAATGTCAAAAATTTAACAATAAATCAACTTTTGAAATGGGAACATTATCAACAACCAATCCCAAACAAAATAATTCAAGTAAGAATAATTTCATATTAAATATCATATAAAATAATATGTATTAATAATAACTGTTTTTATATATTTTATAGGAAATTATGCTGTCAGAAGTGTCTGATAATATAACTTTTATATTAAAAAATTCTGTATTAAATAAGACAAAATTAAATTAATAAAACAAATATTTATATTATATAAAAAATATATTATACATAAAATATATATAATGGAAAGTAGAAATATTTAAATTTTGTTTTTATGTAACATAAAATTTTTTAATTTTTCTATGAAATCAGTAGATTGTATATGTTTTATAAGTTCAGTACATTCTTCTGCATTAACTTCCAATAAAATGTTCTGATTCCATTTTTTAACTAAATGTTTAATTGCTAATATAGACTGAAAAATAAAGTTTGAAATAATTATATCAATATACTGTATTTTTTTACATAAACATATTAACTTACCTCTGATGAAAGTTTAGTTAATTTTTTTAAATATATCCAAACTTCATCTAAACATTCATATTTATATATTTCACTAACTAAACCATATTGTTTAGCTTCAAATGCATTCATTTTATATCCTAAATATAACATATCACTAGCCTAAAATTTTAAAAAAATTTTAAATTAATCATAAATAATAAAACTACATACAACTTTAAATACCTTAGATTTCCCAAATATTTTAGGAAATGTATATGTAGAACATCCTTCTGCAATAAGACCCAAGCTTGTAAATGGAGTTTGAAAGTATGCCTATAATATAAAAAATAGAATAATTATAGAATAGTAAAATAATTATAATTTAAAGAAAATAATGAATTATAACTATATATGTGAAAGCCAATTAAGATATAAGATAACTATAAAATTACCGTATCTGATGCATATGTCATATCAAATAATGGAAGCATTGTCACCGCAATTCCAATTGCAGGACCATTTACAACAGCTATTAAAAGTTTGGGATATGTAATTAACATGTCTACAAATTTTCTGTAAAATTATTATTGAAATTTATAATGAAAATTTTAATTATTAAAAATTTTTTATAAGATTAATACTTACTTAAAATCATTAATAATACTTTTGATATCAAAATCATCTTGGTTTGTTAATAAAGACACAAAATCATTTCCACTACTAAAAAAATTTCCAGTACCAGTCAAACATATTGCATGTATAGTATTATCTTCAATAGATTTATAGAAGATTTCTAATAAATTTTTATACATCTAACAAAAAATTTATTATTAATATTTCGGATAAACTTTTACATTGTTATTATTTTATTATAATTAATGAAATAATTATTAAAAATTATATTTAATTTTGATGTTATATTAATTTAAAAATTAAAATCTAATTTTTATGACATATATACGAGGTTATTTTAATTCTTAAATAGGATATAAAAGTAAAATTAGTTAGATACTAACAATAATTTTAAAAATTACGTACAGAATTGGTAATAGCATTTTTCTTTTCTGGTCTATTTAATGTAATTTTCAATAAACCATTTTCTACACAACATATAATATCAGATAAATTTTCATATTCCATTGTATAAAATAATAATTATATTTAATATGTATATTCTCTATATTAATAAAAAATAAATATATGATATTATATATATTATATGACTTATTTTTTATATTAAAAAACGATATTTATATTACACAAATATATTTAATAGAATCGTAAATTCTTCTAAAATCATTAATATGATTTAATAAAAAATTATATTATTAAATGCAATTAAATTATAATAATGTAATTATTTGATATCATATATTTAACAAATACCAATCAATTAGATAAATAATATTAAATATAATAAATTTCCTAAATTATTTGGAATATAATAAACCATTATATACTAATATATATAACCAATATATATAATTATACTGTTTATGTAATATTATATTGATTTTAAATGTATTTTATTTTTTGTTTTTTTCGAATAAGTCAAAATTTATTTAATCAAATAATAATAATAATTTCCACAATAAAATTAATATAAAAATATAAATTCAAAAATATTATATATTAATTAAATTAAAAAATATTGAATATTATCAGTGTTTTAATATATTTCACAGAATAATGAATTATTTAATTAAATGTTAGTAGAACATATCTTTTGCACATAATTTACAGAAATCAAAAATTTTATTGTATTAATGTATACACTATAGTTGCATTGAAAAAATTATATCAAACAGATAAAAGATATAACATAAAAAAATTCATTATATATTTACAATATTTTTATTATATATTTTTAAATAAATATTAAAGAAGAAAAGTTGTAATTTAATAAATATGATTTGTTCTATTTTAATAACATAAGTAAACATTACAAATAATCGTTCTTACTTTTTGTTATATAACTAGTATTGCTTCTCAGTTAAATACTTGCTTGTTTTGTAACTGATGATAATCGCAATTTTTTTTATTCTTAATAGTATCATTTAATTAAAATATAAGTACTGTAAAAGTAAAATTCTTGCACTATATCTATGATCATATCTGAAATACATATTTCTTCACGACTAGCATTTGTAATATGCTGTCTACTAAAAATTATCAAGTTTATTAATTTTAAAATTATATTTTGTAATCACAGATTACATTGCCATATTAATCCCTAGATATTTCTAGAAAAATTATTATGTCATAAATAACAATATCTGTACATTATATATAACTCATTAAAAAGTAAATATTATAAAGAATATTTGACTACTTTTACAATTAAATATATAAAAAATGAATAATTTTTTTAAAATAAAATTAAACAGACAAAAACTATTATATCCATTACAAAAAGAGGAAGTTTTATTTGGAAATAGATAATAATTATTTTCTATCAAAGAAATAAAAATTATTTAAATTTAAAATTTACTTGCTTTTATATGAAATGCATAATATAAATAAAACCAAATAAGCTATAATTCTATAAAAAAAAAATGCATTTAAGATAATTTGTTTCTTAATTATTTGTATAATATTTAAGCATTTAAAATTAAATGCAAGGATCTCATAATTCATATTGTAAAATTAGAAATTGAAAATATTATAATAGTAACTTTGGTATTTTAAAATACAGAAATAATTCATTCAAATATAATTTACAAAAATGATAATTCATTGATATTTTGCTTTTTTTTAAGATTAGAAACATTTTCACCTACTGTCTTTATTCTTTCACCAAGCACTAGAATTAAGTAGCAGTGAAGTTGGAAGTAATTAATTCTTAATAAAGAACAAATAAAGTAATAAGATTTTTAAAATATTGATATATTTAGTAAAACTATTACGGCTTCAAAACTTTTTCAATGAATTTCTTCATATCACGCATTTCCTGTGAAAGTAATAAGTACAAACATATTAATTTACATGATGATTAATATTATTTTATAAAACAATATGAAAAGAAATTCTTTTATATTAAAAAATTTTCTACCTCATCACAAGACGCATGCATCATTCCTCTATATGTTTTAAATTCTGTTTGTGTCATAAATTGTTTAAGAACTGATGCAGTCAATTGACCCCATCTATATGGCACTATTGGATCACAATCACCATGACATTGAAGCAATGGAGTATTTTTATTCCTATTGCTTCCTATAATACATAATGTTATTAAAAAAAGTATTATATATTTCATTTTAATATAAAAATACATACACCTGGAAATTTTTGATGTAAAGGAAGCCAAGCTGATAAAGCTATAATACCAGCTAAAGGTTCTGGAAATGTAAGAGCACTATATATAGCAAGAGCACCACCCTGACTAAAACCTCCAAGAACAATACGTTTTGTGGGTATTCCTGCTGCAACTTCTTCTGCAATTAAAGAATGTACCATTTCTGCAGCTCTACGAATACCTTCTTCATCTTCAGGACCACTTGGTTCCAAAGATCGTAAATCAAACCTAAATTTATTACATATGTTTATGTAATTAATAAAATTATGTTAATTTGCACTATAATTTGCACATATAACTTATTTACCAAGAAGGCATTCTAAATCCTGCATTTAATGTCACTGGCATTGTAGACCTAAAATGATAAAACTAAATGATATAATTTACTTAAATAAAATTATTTATATATATTAAAGTTTTGTTATTTATAATATATTATTTTTACTTCAATTATACATACGCAGTTGGACAAATAACTTTAATATGAGGAGATCTTACTGCTCCCATGGAACTAGCCCAACCATGACTATAAAATAAATAAATAAAAATTATAAAAGATTATATTGATATTATTTAATTATATAAATTATTATTTACCCTGTATCACCCAATCCATGGAAAAATATAAGCTGAAACAAAAGTTAATATTATGTAAAAGTAATATAATTATTTAAATATATTATATATTATATTATATATTATATATATTATATTATACTATTAGTTTCTTCTATTTTTTCAAATATTATAATAGTAACTTTGGTATTTTAAAACTCAGAAATAATTCATTCAAATATAATTTATATATAATTCATTCAAAAATGATAATTCATTGATATTTTGCTTTTTCTTTAAAATTAGATGCACATAAATAAATAAAAATTTTAAATTATTAAGTTTTTATTCTTATTATAAATTTTATAACATTTTAATTTAAAAAAAATATATAAATTAAATGTAAATTAGAAATACAAATTATAATAATATGGTATATATATTTGATATTTATATGATAAAATTATGTCAAAAATAATTAACTTATGGTCAATTAAAATCACTTTGCATCAATCATAACCAAAAAAGAGAGATCTTTGAGAGATTTTCCACTTACTGTTGCTGTATGTCTGGCTGTAGCTGCTATTACCACAGGACTCACTGTTGTCATTATTCGTCGCTTTTTTTGGACGGGTCACGAAAAAATAGATAAAATGTATATCAATCCTGTAAAAATCGTAAATATAGAATGGCGGAAGATTCTTCTTGACACTGCTTGAAATTCCTCAAAGCGAATAGAGAGGGATAGATAGAAGTCATGCGCATGCTTTATGAAACTAAACTTTTAAATGAAAATTCAAATTATTATGCAAACCTATAGAATTATCTATTGTTAACGCATAATACATATTACATATACTTACTTCGTTATCATCAATAATATATAAGAAAATATTAAAAATTTTACAATCTGTTTTTAGCAAATCATTTGAAACTGTCAAATAATTATTGATATATAAATTAATATTCATAGTAGAGCTTAACAAAGAATACATATTCTTAAGAAGTTACAATTTTCAATTTAAATCTTTTTTATGTGGATAATATTTAATAAAGTTAAACTTCTAAATAAAATTTATGCAATTGAAATTTATAATTAAATATAAAAAATTTCATTATATTGTCATAATTTTCAAGCATTTTTTGTTTAAAAATATAAAAATTACATATATTATTAATTTAAAAGAATTTCTCTAAAGAAAATAATTTTTTTTAAAATATCAATTAATTTTACGCCGTTGATTTAAAAAAAGATATGCAAGTATAGTAAATTTAAAAAACAATTTAATTAATTAAATTTTAATATTCAAATTTTTGATTCTTAAATTTTAATTAAAATATATCAAAAGTAGGAAATGCAAAGCGACGCCACTATACAACATATTGACCAATCAGAAACGAAGAGTCCTGGGTTAGTTGAGTCTGCGACGTATACATTTCGGAATGCAAGTAGTGAAAAGATGGTGCTTTGATAGTTGAGACATTCGTTCCGTGGTCGTTCCTAGCCGACAAACCGTGGTTGCCAGCCATATTGTTTTACCGCAGTGTTTGTTTTGGTGCAGCCTAGTCAGAATACGAAGAAATCCGAGGGGATCGACTCGAAGGAAGACAGAAGAATTAGAGTGCAGTTAAAGAAACTACTTAGGCAGTGCGCGTATACGGTGGTTTTGCTGTATTTTTCGGCATAATCATCGTAGCTCGCGGGCTAAGCCCATAATCTAAGTGTCAGTTGTGAATAAAACGGTAAAAGAGGGAAATGGCCTGCGCCACTCTAAAGAGATCTTTGGAGTTCGACCCGGTACATAGTCATGGTCGTCCTAGTAAACGAAGAAGATGTGTACCAATGTGTGTCTCCCCCGGTACATCAACTCAAGCTAATTCCAGGCCACAGAATCCTTCGCCTTTTGGCGAAGTAACTCATAAACTGACGCCTGGTAATTATTATACGTTACGGCCATTTTTATTTTTCTTTTTTTATTTTTTTTTTCCTTCTCTTCACGATATGACAGGGAAAGCATGATTAAATCGTTTTAGTGATTTAAAACTTGAATTCACGACGTTTAAAAGGGGGAGGGAAGATGCGGCGTTTAGGTAGGGGAAGATGCGTAAATCATATGGTAATGTAGTAACGGACATAAAGAATTAACTCTCCTTTTCTCTTTATTTATAAACATTTATGTTTTTAAAAATTGTTTGATTTCATGATATTACAAATCAATTTTTAAAATAAAAAAATTATATTTAAATTTATTATGCTTTTAAATTTTTTAAATGCTTCATTTATTTAGTAATTACAATTTGATATCTATAATAATAATTATAATTATTGTTATAAATTTTAGAATTTAGATTTAAGATTTTTAAAATATTTATAATTAAGAGAAATTATAATATATATAATTAAAAATTAATTAAAAACTAATTTAAATTAATTTGAACTATTCAAAATAATATAAAAAATTTAATGTTTTCAAGAAATACAATATGAAATTAATTTTTTTATATATAGAAAAAATGGCTGCTAATATAAGAGAAGAAATTCGGAGACTGCATCGACGCAAACAATTGCATTTTAGTCCTCAAAATAATAGTGGTGATTCTTCAGATATGGAAGGTCCTGCCAGTCCTTCAAGCCCATCTGCTTGTGGTTCAAATTCATGTAGTTATAATCCTAGTGGAAAGGAAAAACCTTTATTTACATTTAGACAGGTAAATTTATAGTTTATAATTGTAATTAATTTATATTTAAACAAAGATCAATATTAAAAAAATTATAAAATTATATTAAATATAATTTTATAGGTGGGATTGATTTGTGAGCGAATGCTTAAAGAACAAGAGACACAGATTCGAGAAGAATATGATCAGATTTTAAACATGAAGCTCTCTGAGCAATATGATGCTTTTGTTAAATTTACCTATGACCAGATACAAAAGAGATTTGAATCTGCAGCTGCGCCAAGTTGTAAGTGAAGTTAATACATGATAATAATTGTAATTAATTTATTAATACATGAAATTATTCTTTTTATTTATGAATAAATTATCTTTCAGATCTATCCTAAAACAAGATTCTTATTTATAAGGACATGTTTCTGTGAAGAATATAGGTAAAGTATTTAATGTGAAATAAATATTGTATAAAATGGGTGTTTATTTTGCTAATAAATATAATAACAAATTCTTTATTAATTTTTTATTTCTTTATTATTGTAGATTTCTACTGTGTGAGACAAATTTTGCTTGAAATTTAAATTGTGGTATGCAGCACCACCTCATTCAAAAACTTCTTTAAAAAACTCATACTACGACTTACATTGAAAAAAATGTGTTTGGTAAAAACAAAAAAAAAGCATAAAAAAGAAAAAAAATTAGTCATGTAAGTTTAGTAGGTTTGCAGCAAACAGCAATCGTACTACAAAAATCTACAGTGTATACTATTGAAACTAACAATATTTGTACTGGCCGATATTAGAAATGCGCTGGTATCAGGGAACTGTACCGAGATTCTAGTTATGTACAAACAAGTACATGTAGGAGTTATACACAGTGCATGATTATGCTTGAAGCAAAGAGCTTGACTTGCACAGGGTTCTGTAATATCACATAACTGATTAAAAATAGATAAATGTTCATTTCTTGTACATTTTATCAGAAAATGTAAAGAAATGACAATAATACAAATAATTCCTTATTAATTTAATAATACATATATTAGATATTGCTCAATCATATGCGAATACTCTCGTATTGCAAACGTAAAACGATGTACATTGAGATATTTGGCAAAAAGTACTGTGCATATGAAGAGAAATTATAAACCATATATCGGGGAAAGTTGTTTTCACGTTGAACTTCAGTGTATCTTATTTTTTTTTTCAAACTAGATAGATTCAAACTTATACATCACGTATTTAGAAAATTTTATTTTAATGATTGCAATATGAAATATTTTTTTGATATGTGTGCTTTATTGCATGTGTAAATTTTCGATGTAAGCAACATTCCCCCTAAAATGGATGTGTTCGAACTTAAATAACGTACATAACTTATAGAACTAAATTATCAATATTTTAAATAGATATCAAGAATCAATTTTATTTCTTTCTAAAATCAAAAAATATTTGAAATCTCAAAAAAAAAAATCCTAAAAACAATTAATCCTGAACGAATTATTAATTTATTGTGATTACTTAAATTTTGTTGAGTATTATGTATTAATCTTCTATTTTAGTAAAAATTTTCTCGTTAAAATTACAAATATAAAAATTTGTAAAGAATTCAAGATAAGGTATAGTATGTAGCATTGTACGAACATATTGTCAAAATGAATATTTGAAATAAAGATTTCATAAAATTTCGCAAATATTTCTGTTCCCTGGTAGCAACGACTTTCTTTAGCATAATAAAGCACTAAGTAACGAATATATAATATACCTTAATTGTGCCTATTATTAAATGTGTTTATCGCGATAATTCTACTATATTGTTACCGATTTTTAAATTTTTAGTTTATAATCATTTTTATATTATATCGTTTCCTTGCTTTTTTGTATTTAAAAGAAATTCAAATATATAAGAAAGCAATATGAATGAAGCTTTCTTAGTTACTGCATGCATTTTTTTTTCTTTTTGTTGTAGCATGAAATTCACTTATATTAAAAAAAAAAAAAGAGCATTAGGCACTAAGAAATATTTATTTAAAAGAATTTCAGAGAGCATGTTACAATTTACTTTTATTTGTTTAATGAAATATTTCATTTTCTCATTTATAAAATTAAATATTGAAAAAAGGGCATTATGAATTGCCTTGTTCATTCCCAAAAAGAAGATGTCTTTCAGTTACCAGAAAAATTTGGGAACACAATATTAGTGTTCATACAATAATATACATGATATATCAAGTGTTTACTGATTGCTGAATGTGAAAAAAAAAAGGAATATAAATGGTTCTAATTGTCAACAACAAGTAATATCTACTTGAGAAAATTATTGTTTATCATTATAAAAAATTTTGTGAAAATATATAATGATGTGATTCTTTATGGATTTAGGGGATTTAATTTCAATTAAAATACCTTCATATTATATTATGTAAGCACTTAATATTGAAATAAATATAAATATAAGACTGATCACATGTATTTCTTTATTTTAGTCATTTTTTATCAACTGAATATGTAATTGCATATAATATTTTCTTATGCAAATGTTTACAAATTTATTTACTATTTAATATATTATGAAAAAAATTATCACTGGATCTCACTTCTTTCTTAGTTGAAGATGCATGAACTACTGAATCAGATCTACAATATGCGTAATAAATTTCTTACATATGTATTCTAATCTCATTAACTAACTTGTGTAATAAACTAATGCTATTAGTAATATGGCTTCAACAAAAGAAGCCCCTCTAGGACTATATGAAGTTCCCTGTTCTTGCTAAGAAATTGTCACTTCTGGGCGGGAAACAAACTTCTGTTAATTCATTTAATTGAAGAAAAGTTTGCCAAATGTTTCCTTTATTGTTTTTGGCTTTTGTTGTAGCCATCAAGGTATTCAAGAAAACAACTCCAAATGGTAAGTTATTAAAATAAAAATATATAATAATAACATATTTTTTATAAAAAATATTGAAAGAATTAGTAATATTTTTCAAGATACTTTATTTTTAAGTGATTTTTCATTAACTATAGGAAAAGTCACAGTTTATCTTGGTAGAAGAGATTTTATTGATCATTTGGATAGCATAGATCCTATTGATGGCATTATTGTTGTTGAAAATGATTATCTTCAAGGTCGAAAAGTTTATGGACAGGTAAGAAAATAACTTAAATAAATAAAATAATTTACTTTAATATTGAAAATCATATTTATATATGAATATTTTTTATTTTATTCTAATGTTAGGTAACAACAACTTTTCGCTATGGACGCGAAGAAGATGAAGTTATGGGTGTCAAATTTAGCAAAGAACTTGTCTTATGTCGAGAACAAATAGTTCCAATGAAAAAGGAAAAACAAGATATAACACCTGTTCAAGAACGTCTTTTAAAACGTCTTGGAGCAAATGCATATCCATTCTTATTTCATTTTCCACAAAGTTGTCCTAGTTCTGTTACATTGCAACCTGGTGAAGATCAAGGAAAACCATTAGGAGTAGAATATACTGTAAAAGTTTATGTTGGTGAACATGAAGAAGATAAAGTAATGTTTTAATCATAAAATATTAATTTATATTAATATAAATAGATAACATAAGTATATATATATATATATATATATATTTAATTTATAATTTATAGGGACATAAAAGATCATCTGTTGCATTAGCTATAAAAAAATTACAATATGCTCCACTTGTAAGAGGACGTAAATTGCCTACCTCTTTAGTTTCAAAAGGATTTACTTTCTCTCAAGGTAAATTGAATCTGGAAGTTACACTTGATAAGGAGATCTACTATCATGGAGAAAAAGTAGCTGCTAATGTTATAGTTACTAACAATTCTCGAAAGGCAGTCAAAAATATTAAGGTATTTATTTATTTATGTATATATATATATTATATAATATAATATAATTATATTTAATATTTAATTTTTATGTTTCAGCTTTTTGTGGTACAACATTGTGAAGTGACAATGGTTAATGCTCAATTTTCTCGACACGTGGCCAGTTTAGAAACACGTGAAGGTTGTCCAATTACTCCCGGGGCATCATTTACAAAGCAATTTTATCTTGTTCCATTGGCCAGCAGCAATAAGGATCGTTATGGAATTGCTCTTGATGGTCATTTAAAGGTATAGTAAACAAAACTTTTATTAAAAATATAATTCTTTTTTTGCTTTCAATTTTCATGAATTTTAATTTTTTAATTAATTAAGATGTAAATTTTTTCCTTAACATATAGGATGATGATGTGAATCTTGCATCTTCAACTTTGGTCGCAGAGGGTAAAGCTCCTAATGATGCTATGGGTATTGTCATTTCTTACTCTGTACGAGTAAAATTGAATTGTGGCACTTTGGGAGGTGAATTAGTTACAGATGTTCCATTTAAATTAATGCATCCTGCTCCTGGTAAATAAATTTTAATATCCACTATATTAAATATTTTAAATATATTATATAACTAATAATAATAATCAATAATTTATTTTTAAATTTATATTATATATATAATATATATATAATATATTTATATTATATATATAATTCAAGTATTACTTTATCATTACAGGAACTGCAGAAAAAGAAAAAGCTACTTTAAAGAAGAATAAGAGTATTGAGAGAACACGTTATGAGAACTCTTGTTATTCAAATGATGATGATGATAATATTGTATTCGAAGATTTTGCTCGTTTGCGTTTGAATGAACCAGAGTAAAAACATTTGTAAAAAGACAAATACTTACTTTGGAAGAATCTTAAATTCATAATTTTTTGTATTAAATTTAAATCAAAATGCAATAAAATTATATCAAATTTAATAATAAATAATACAATATATTGCATAATATAGAATTTGTCGATTCTAGGATTCTTTTGATGTGAGTTATGTCTAAGAACTGAAAAAAGTATAAAAGGTATACGGAAAATAAAAAAATTATATCCATATACAATCATTTTGATATATGGCTGAGTATTAATATACTAATATAAAAAAACATAATAAAAAAATACAAAAAAAAAGCGAAAAGCATTATAAAAAAAATGTCGTCTTATAATTTCTCTCCGGTGGTGGTGGTCGGTTAGAAATTCACATGAAGACAAAAAAAAATGATTTTAAGTAAGCTTAATAAATAATTTATATTTGGTTAAGATAAAAATCTTCCCGCGTTACCAGAAGTGACATGTATGCTATTAACTTTGATTTATAGTGATTATAACGTGTCTGTAAATGTTTATTTATTACAAAATTGATGACATTGTTGAATTATATCTGTATATTAGAAGAGAAATAAAAATTTAAAATGCTAATTTTTGACTTCTTTTGTTCTACATTTTCGTTAAATACATAAATATATAATATTAAAAGAAAAAAAATAAAAATAAATTTTTTTTACCAAACCCAGAAAATTATTTATTTTATGACTATACAAAATATTACAAGAATTTTAATAATTGCTCAGTCTTTCAAAGCATTGTTAAATATTTATCAATGCTGACTGCATTATAATTAATCGTACATATGCGAATAATATTCTTGATATGCTTGAATATATGCTTCTTTTTCTACAGGAGTCATTTCTGCTATTAATGCATCATTTACATCTGCAATGGCAACTGTCTTTCCTGCAACAGTTACAGTTGGTACAAGATCTTCATCTTCAGAATCCATGGTTTCTACCTCTCCTAAAAAATTTAAAAAAATTTCATGTTTTTTAAAATAATAATATCATTATAATAATAATTTTACAAATGTAATGTCTTTTAATATTTTATAAAAATCATACCTGTATCAATAGCTTGCATTTCAGTAATTTCTTCATTATCACTACTATCACTAGATTCTTGAGGCAATACAGATTTTATAGCAGCTGCTGAATTTGTTCCTCCTTTTTTCTCATGAGCTAATAATACAGACATTATATCTTCACCTTGTTTATTATTGGTTGATGTTGTATTAGTAGCAGTAGCTGCAGCTTTATCCAAAATATTTTCTTGGGTATTAACCCCATCAGGCTATAAGAATAAATTAATATGAAATATTATATTATTAATATATTATAATAATATCATTACTATTAATAAGATATCAATATTGAAAATAAATTTACCTGTGAATCAGTATTAATAACAGTACTTTCCATCATCCAAATTGGTCTTTCCTTTCTTCTATTTGTCACATTATCATCAATAGAATCATCACCAATTGTAACATCTACTCTTGTATCTTCTACCATAAAACCTGATGATCTTGTAGCTTCACCAGACCATTGTTCACCAGGTGCTCTTAGACTGCTTGGTTTTCTTGTATCAATACTAAGAAGAAGAAATATAAGTAATATATAAGATCATATTATTAATAGTTTTATTAAAAATCCATACCCTTTAATAGTATTTATATCAACTGGTTCAGGTTCCAATATTTCAGGAGCTAATTTAATACCTTCTACTTCCCTTAATAAAATGTATAAAGGTTCTAATTGTTCATTAAATTTAGCTAATAATAGTCTTGAATCTTTTTTAGGAAGAGCAGACTGATCTTCTTCCACTACTTCACGACAGTATGTACATCTAAATTCACCAGTAGTCATATCAAATAATTGATCTGCCTATATTATATCATGATAATGAGTATTTTATTACTAGTATATTTATAAAGTAATAAAACTGTATTTCACAAGTAATTTTTAAATTTTGTCTTTTTTTTATTTATTTTATGAAATCAAAAACTTTAAGAAACATTGCTATATAATTTATAAATGATATACATACCTCAAGATCAGTAAAAGTTTTCAAACAATTTGTACATTTAAAACTAGCTCTACTAGTTGCATCTCTTTCTTCAGTTTCCATTCTCTTTCTCATTAAATCTAATTTATATTTTACTACATTTACAAAAGTCTTATAATTAATAAAATAATAATTAACTTTTTGTGCTTTTCCATCTGATCCAGTTTCCATTTTTAATCTAACTTGTATGAATTTATCATTACGTAATGTAGATATTCTAGCTCTTAACATTTTACGTTCAAATTTTAAAAGTTCACAAATATCATCTTCTTTCATACCTAATGAAATAAAATAATATAATTTTAAATATATGATGATATATTTTAATTTATATATTTTGTACTTACATGGATTTCTAACTAACATATCAACAATCAATGCATCTTCTATTGTATAAAATCCACGTACAACCAAACGTGCTAATTGTTTTAAACTACTGGGAACTTCTGTAACAAGTCTTTCTTCACCACTCATTGTGTTAATAGTTATAACAAAATACAAGTTACTGAAAAAATTTTTATATTATTATTATTATCCTCCATATAATTTATATTTATTAATAAAATATATTTTATAAATGATTTTATAATTATATTTGAATAATATCATAAAATATATTGTTTAAATTTAATTTGTTATTGTAACAAAATACTAACCTTTAAAGTAGCATAAATAATACATTTATCATCAAATATGTCAAATAGATATCAATATAAATAAATTAAAATATATATCACAATAATAATTATACGTTCTCTCAAGAGAAATAAGAAAATAATAGAATAAAATACATTATTTTATTATTTGATTAAAAAAGACAAAATACCATTTCAACGGACGCTTGTTTATAAGTATAATTGCTTTTAGGTTATGTATTCATAATATAAAATTATCAAATGATAGCTTGTCAAACAACAGGAATATAAAAATAAAAAGATATACATTTTCATATGATTTAATGAAAATTATTAATGGCTGCAATTGATAAAGTTAAGATTATTGTCCTTGGCGATTCTGGTAAGAATATATATATATAAAGCAATTCTATAATACTCTTTGTTATTGTCATTATCTGTTATAGTATTTGTATATGATTATTTATTATTTTATTAATTAAAATGTAAACAAAATGAATTATATATTTATAATATTTTGTTTATATATAAATATATTTAATTTTTTAATTTTTTTAAATTAGAATTTATAATTTATGCGTTATATTTTATGACGTTATTTATAGGTTAATTATCTTCATAATTTTATATATTTAAGTAATTAGATATTTTCTTTTTTTTATTTTCAGGTGTGGGAAAAACATCATTAACACATTTAATATGTCAACAGCAACCTATTAATAATCCTTCGTGGACTATAGGTTGCTCAGTAGAAGTTAAATTACATGAATATAAAGAAGGAACTCCTAATCAAAGAAGATATTTTATTGAATTATGGGATATTGGGGGAAGTCAAAATCATAAAAATACAAGATCTGTATTTTATAATCCTACAAATGGTATATATATAAAATTTATAATATTAGGAATATAATATAAAAAATTTAATAATAATATAAATTTAATAATTATTTATAGGTATCATATTGGTTCATGATTTAACAAACAGAAAATCACAACAAAATCTTCAAAAATGGCTTGAAGAAGTTTTGAGTAAAGATAGCAATTATATGAAATCAAAATCATTTGATGATTTTGATCCTGAAAAATTTGTAGGATCTACACAAGTAATATATATTCTAAATATTATTCTAAACATAATAATATAATATATTGATACATTAATTTTTTTATATAATTTTGTATGAATAAAATTATCTTTCTAGATACCAATTTTAGTTATTGGTACAAAATTAGATCTAGTTGCTGAAGTTAGAACAAGTGTACAAAGACGTTCCTCAACTATTGCAGAAGAATGTGGTGCTGATGAAATATTTTTGGTATATTACTTTTTTTTATAATTATAATTATAATTAATATTATTTTATAAGATTTTTTTATTAATATTATTTTCAAATTTTTTTCATATTGTTATTGCAGGATTGTCATCAAGTGAGATCACTTGCAGCTGGCTCTAGCTCCTCTGTTAAATTAAGTAGGTTTTTTGATAAAGTTATTGAAAGACGTTATTATTCTCCAAAGGAAGGAATCAGTCCTGATAAACGAAAACTGCCAATATATATCCCATACAGTTCAAAAATTTATCACAATGATTAAAAACTTCACTAGATAAAAAATTCACTTTTTTTATTTTAGCATTAATAGAATTTTTATTCTTAAATTTTAACATTACATTCCTAATTTTTATGAAATACATATTTGTAGCAAAATGAAAATAAAATATAAATAAATAATTATTTTAAATAATTAAGATATTTATATAAAATATAATAAAATTAGACATTTTGAATTAAATATTAAATGTGTTTATAATTATATATATATAAGAAATAAATACTTATTTTTTTATATCATTGGAAGATAAATGATATTTTTTTCCTATTTTTATTTATATATAGATAGATATAATATATGAATAAAACTTTATATATCTCCCGAACTATGAACGATCATTAATAAAATATATTCGATGTTTCTATACTTTTTGATTACGTCATAATATAACGCGCGATAGATAATTTTTCAAACTAAATTTCACATTATGCATTTTCTTCTAATGGAATTAAAATATTATAAAAAGGAATATGAATTTTAATAAATAATATAAACGGAAATAAATGCATACATATTTGATTAAGCATTTTAAATTATTAAATTTTATATATTAATTAATGTCATGTTTCACAACTACCCTTTAAATTTTCTAGTCTAAGTATTCTATTTTGAGATAGATGTATGTAATGTATTTTTATACGTAATATAAAGGTTAACACACGTACATCATTATCTGTTAAATCATAAATTCGATTGAATATGTAAATTTCTTTAATCATATATACAGAAAAACTTTTCTTTATTAATTTTTTAAATTAAATGTATATTTATCAGGCAATTATTTGTAAGAATAAATATTTTTTTAATTGGTAATTAATAATATATGTAAGTAATATATATAAGTAACGAATCACGAGCTTCTTTTTTAGAATATCTTTTTCTATGATGATGATGACTTATTTGTCAAAGAAATTTTATAATCGAAATTATTTTATGAATTTGTTATCACGATTTCAATCTTATGATTTTATTCAAAATTATGGATATGTTCATGATATTACATTGATTGAAAAAGGCCCAATTGCTGTTTTAAAAAATAAAATAGCAAAAGGAGAACTAATGAAAGATGAGCACCAAATGAAAGTTACTAAGACATTGCAAAATATTTATGAAGAAATAAGTGGATATAAACCTGAAGAATTCAGTTTATTAGACAAATGGCTAGGTAGAAAAAGAAAACAACCACCAAAAGGTCTATATCTTTATGGAGCAGTTGGTGGAGGTAAAACAATGTTAATGGATCTTTTCTACCAATGCTGCCAGGTATCTCAGTTAATAATTTATATAATTATTGCACATGGGGAGCCAAAATGTGTATTATTGATTATCAATATGATAATTCATAATATTTTTCAGCATAATTCATATAATATATCATATAATAAAATAATTACTGCAACAAGGATTTACTTTATCTAATGAAGGTAATAATATAAAAAAAAAAATTTTTTAATTGTAATTATATATGGCTTTCCATATGCAGTACATAGCAAAATAAACTTTTTATTAAAAAAAAAACTAATAATTATTTAAAAAAATATTTTTTTAGATCAAAAATAAGAAAAGAGTTCATTTTCATTCTTTTATGTTGGATGTACATAATAAAGTGCACGAAGTAAAGAAAAATATTGTACGAGATGTTAGTAGTACAAAACTTCAACCATTTGATCCAATACCACCAGTTGCAAGAAGTATTATTGAAGAAGCTTGGTTACTTTGTTTTGATGAATTTCAGGTTTAATTTAAAAATATATTATTCAATGATATATAATAATAATATTATATTAATATAATAATATTGTAATAATATAATATCTTATTAATAAAAACTTATATATCATAGGTAACTGATATTGCGGATGCTATGATATTAAAACGATTATTTACTGAGCTTTTTAATAATGGTGTAATAGTTATTGCAACTAGTAATAGGGCACCCGATGATTTATACAAAAATGGATTACAAAGAGGAAATTTTATTCCATTTATACAAGTTTTAAAAAATTATTGTATTATAAATTCTCTAGATTCAGGTATAGATTATAGATTGAAAACAGGTCTTGGAAATGAAAAAATTTATTTCATGTATGTATACTTATACATAGATAAAATATTAATAAAATATTTATAGTATAAAATATTTTTCTTTAAAGAAAACTAATTATTATAGAAAAGGAAAAGATGCAATAAGTGATGTGGATAAAGTATTTAAATATTTATCGTCAAAGGAAAATGATGTTGTGAGATCTCGAACAATTTCTATAAGAGGTCGTAATGTTACCTTCAAAAAAACTTGTGGACAAATATTAGATTCAACTTTTGAAGAGTTATGTGATAGAGTAAGTTGTTTTAAATATCTTTTATTAAATTAAGATGATTTATTATATGATATTTTATTTGTAGCCACTTGGTGCTAGTGATTATTTAGAATTAAGTCAAGCATTTCACACAGTTATTATAAGAGATGTACCACAATTAAATTTTCGTCTTAAATCACAAGCTAGAAGATTTATTACATTGATTGATACATTATATGATAATAAGGTATATATGTATATATTATCTTTATTCATTCTAGATATTTAATAATTTAAATTATTGTAAATAATTATATATAAAAATAATAAAATCTTTTTTTTTAGGTACGAGTTGTGATATCTGCAGCTGTACCACATACAAAACTTTTTGTACCAGAAGGAAATAATGAATATACAGACGAAAAACGAATGTTAATGGATGACTTAAAAATATCACATGGTTCAGTAAGTTATATAATGAAAGTTTATTATTTTTATTGATTAAGAAATATTATTGATTAATGAATTTCGACCAATCTGCCATGAAGAAATAAATTTATAATTTTTTATCTTTAATAGGATGACTACAAATCTAATCTTTTTACTGGAGAAGAAGAACTTTTTGCTTTTGATCGTACTATATCACGACTTTCGGAAATGCAAACTACACAGTATTGGGAACAATGGCAATATTATAGATAATAATAATTTAAATTAATAAAAATTTTATTAGTCTGTTTGATAATATTATTATTTAGATAATTAAATTGCAAAATTATTGATAATAGATATTTTCAAAAAAATACAATATTTCTTAGAAAAATGTAATATTCAACTATGATATATTAAAGGTATTTTAAACGAAATATTTAAAAATATTATAAATATATTTATAATATATTTATTTTTATTATATATATTTATTTATTTTATAAATAATTATAAATATTATGCAATAATAAACAACTACACATATTAAATATAGGAAATATATTGTGAAATATTTCAATAAGATATTATTTAAATAATATATCGAATATTCATTAATTGTTATAAAATAAAAATCAATCAATAGAATTTTATTTCATTATTAAAAGAATTTTATATTTCTTAAAATTTCAAAATTTTTTAAAAATATCTCAATTCTTTAATTATTTAAATAATGTTGTTTATATATATGTAATAAAAATTATTTTTGCAATTATATTTTGTTCAAATTTTAAAATATTTTGATAAGAATTGATATATAATTATAACATAAGATATAAATAAGTAGAGTATATGTGTTTACTTACTTAGTTGTAATATCAAGGGGAACATAATATTGAAGAGGAGATAACAAGAAGGTTTAAGATAAAGTAACAGAATAATATATATATATATATATAATCAATGTACATGAAACTATTTTTTTATTATACTAGTAATCGCAAATTATAAGTCAGTTCAGTGTTATCAATTCTTAAAATGAATATTTAAACGATATCAATCATAAATTTAAAACACTTGCACTTTTCTTAGGCATTCATTTTTACGCATTTTACTCATTTAAATAAATCCAAATATTTTCAAGTATATTTTAAAACAAGTACAATGAATATTCAAAAATTGACAAATGGTAAAACAAATTTAAAAATTTTTAATTATTTTATATTCTTAAATTTTACATATTTTTGTTTTAGCTACAATGAATTTCGACCAATCTACAATAGATGAAAAAATTAATTCTATACGTTCTAGAGTTTATAAATTGGAAAAACATGTTAAAACTACTTGGTTGATAAAAGCAATAAGTTTTTTAGATTTAACTACTTTACGTAGTGATGATACACCAACAAAAATTGAAGCTTTATGTGTTAAAGTAATAGTCTATTTCATATTAAAATATTAATATTTAATATTTTTTTGAAAATATCAAAATTCTATAATTAATTTTTATAATTACAGGCAGTACACCCTCTTAAATTAGCAGATAAATCAAATTTACATACTGCATCTGTATATGTATATCCTTTGAGACTTATAGATGCGATAACTACATTGGAAAAACTTGATAAAGATCATAAAATTTCCAGAGCTACTGGTAAATATAGATTTAATATAATAGGTAATTATAATTTTTAATTATAATAATATATGATTTTCTAGTGGTGGAGGATTTCCATCTGGACAATTTTTATTGGAAACACGACTTCGTGAGGTAGAATTAAATGTTGAATTAGGAGCTGATGAAATTGATATTGTTATCAATAGACCATTGGTATTAATGCACCAATGGCAAAAATTATATGAAGAATTGAAATTATTTCGTACTGCTTGTGGTAACAAATGTCTAAAAGTCATACTTGCTACAGGAGAATTAGGTAATTTGGAAAATGTATATAAAGCATCTATGATAGCAATGATGGCTGGTGCAAATTTTATTAAAACATCCACTGGAAAAGAAGCAATAAATGCTACTTTGTCTGCTGGAATTGTTATGTGTCGTGCAATTAAAGATTATTATGAATCTACACAAAAAAAGGTATAAATCTTTATTTTGAATGAAAAATAAGAAACCCATTTTTTTATATCTTTTATACATTTATCATTAAAATATATTTATTTTATCTATATATTATTTAGATTGGTTTAAAACCTGCTGGTGGTATTAAAGTTCCACAAGAAGCTTTGGAATGGATGATGTTAGTTCAAATGGAATTAGGAGAGGAATGGTTATGCAAAGATTTATTTAGAATTGGCTCATCTAATTTATTAGATAATATTATTGAAGAAATACAATTAAATTAATATGAAATAATGAAAGAATACAAAAATTTTCTATATAAAAACATTAAAATAATTATTGTAATTTGTCATTCTTATATAAAAACTTATTAAAAAATTTGTTATT